AAAATAGAATTTTATACAAAATATTATATTATATATTAAAATAAAATAATATGAAGAAATACTAAATAATTTTATAATTATACAAAATTAATATATATTAAATATAATATTATATAAATTCAACAATTACATCAATTAAATTTGTTTTATATCAAATATAATTGAAAGTATAATTCTTTTTTTTTTTTTAATTTTTAGACTTACACATTATATAAACGAATTATAACTCTATAATAATTTATTATTTTTTAATATATTTTTACTAAAATAATCCAACACCTCAATAAATATATTATTTTTAATACTTATATTTACATTTTTTAATACTTCTAGTCCCTACTATTAATTTTTTATTTATAATTCTGTCTATTTTATATTAATATAATATTTTTAAATTTTATGAGGATAAAAAATGGTTTAACAATAAACATCGCAAATTATAATATAAAAGAAATATGACTTTTAATCAAGTGAATTAAGTTGAATTCAACTAATTTGAAACACATAGAGGCAAAGGAGTTAGATTTGAAAAGAAGGTAATAGAAGTTACAAGTGTTGTTTTGGGCCTGGGCCTATGAGTATTCCGAATTTAGTGTGGATCATATCCTGAAAGTCCAAGGTGGGGATTGGAAGCACGTGGATTATGCTATTATAGGATGCCCAAGACATGACAGTGGTAAAATGTTTTTGGGGAATGGGTTGTTGTTGTTGTTGTCAGAAAAAGGAAGGATTGTGATTTGCAACGGAGCATCGACAAGTGCGCACTCCATTTTTATAATATCTATGCATTTATTACTTTGCCCTCATTTAAAAGACGGATTTATTAGTTGCTAAGTATTTACAAATTTATAAAATATTTTAAATTTATTCTGATAATTTCTCCAATATAATTTATTAATTTACATTATCAATGTAAATAACTTTTATTTTTTCAATCTTTTACGAAACATCAGTTTTATATATTTTTTTTATTACTCTATTCTAAAGTTTTTTTTTAATTTTATTTCTTATTTTTTCCTATCTCCTCCCCCGAAAATCCACATTTTTCTATTATGAAAAATCTCACATTTTTATTTTTTTTCCTCTCTAAAGTAGTACATATGAAATAATTTTATTGATGATAATTTTTCAATAAATTTTTAATTGTTATTTTATAAAATATATATAATTGATTTTTAAGTTAAAATTTTTAGGACTGTTAAATTTTATCATAGTTATATACATAATTGTTTTTCATATTTTATTATTAATTTTATAAACTGAAATTAGGTGAATAATGACTAATAATTTTTGTTTATTATTTTTAATATTATTGTGATGATATATAGTGTTATTTTTTAAAAGTTTTTTAAAAATTATTTAATTATTTTTATATTTTTATTTCACATTCACTCAAACTTTAATTTGTAATTTTTTTTTGTTTTTTAAATGAGATAATATCTGATAAGTGTTTAAATAATAATATATTTAAATATATTAAAATTATATAAATACTTGTTAATTTGTATATTCAAATACAATAATTTAATGAATTTTAAGAACTTATAATATAAGTTCTTATTATATGAGACTTATTATATAAGATTTTAAATAATTTATTTATCTAAATGAATTTGTAATAGTACTTTTTTAATATATATCTTTGTTGTGTTTTTCTATTGCATTTTTGGTTGTTAGAAAGTCATTGTCCAAGTTTGATCAAACTTAGAGTTGTTTAAAAGTGCAATCATTTTAGATCCATTATTAAAAGAGTCCTAATTTTTAAAAAATTATATAATTGTAAGATTATTTTTATATTATTTTTAAAAATAAAGCTATTTATTATGTATTTATTTTTTATATCTAATTATAAAATTTTGATATAATTACAAATTTATGTTAATTTTATTATTATTATTATTTATTTATCATATTCATAAAAGAGTAAAATATATTTTTAATATTTATAATCTTTCAAGTCTTGTTTTGGTCCTTCAAAATTGTTGTTTTGTTTTAGTCCTTTTAATTTTTAAAACAAACCATGTTTAATTTTAAAGTTGTTATTAAATTTATATAACACTTCATAATAAATGATAGTATAGAGGTAATTTGAATGAAAATAATAGTACTGCATATATTTTTTTTAAAATTTATTAACATTATATTATTTGTTTAATGTAATAAAAATGTCATTTTTATTTAAGCTATGTATCTATTTTCATGTCATAAAATTTTACATTTTAAAATCTTTATATATATATATATATAGACTTAAGTGAATAAATCATAAATTTAAATAGTACTACACTCTATGTTGTTAAGTAAGACATCAATGTAATTGAATTAAAACATCTGCATACATTAAAAAAAACTCACCTAGAGGTTAGAAACTAGTAAGTATTAAATTTTTTTTTGTAAGAACATATAATAAAAATATAAACTACAATTCATCATATTTGAGAAAGTAGTCCTTTTGGGCTGAATATTTAGCTTGTTGATGGCAAATATTTGTTGCATATACCCAATATATATAAGATCCAGTTCAAGCATGAATAGAGAAACATTGGGCTTTTTGAAGATAAATTAGAAAGGAAGAGGGGGTAATGGGCCGGGTTGAGTGTTATCGCGTGGAGTAATGAATGACCAATAGAAAGAAAGTCATTACTGATTGCAGTTTTTTGTTCAAGGAAATGTCGTAATGCCCCAAAATAACACTACACACATCTCAATATTCTTTGCCCAACCCAATCCCCTCCTTTCTCATATTATACTTTTAAATTAATTACATTAAAATATAATAAATAAATAAATAAATAATTATCCTCTCATTTTGTCCGTTCATCTCCTTTCCCCCAACGCGTAAAAGAATAATAAGTTATAAAAAATTAAAAATTAAAATTAAAATCGAGTTTCGCGGAATATTGCTTTATAATTTCCTTTCCTCCTTTTCTGTTGAGTTTTCTTACTTCATTTTTATTTTTTTTTATTTTAAAAAATAATAGAGAAAGAAAAGGGAAAAGAGAATAGATATTGGTTTTGTTTGTTTCTTGGGTGGATCCGTGTTCTCGCATCATCAGCGAGGTATTGTTCAGGTTGATTTCGTTTTTTCGGTTTCGGAGATGGATTCGGAGGATTTCCGATCCATATTGGAGAGTGCCGGCGCCGACGTTTGGACGCTGATCGACACCGCCATCGCGGTCGCCTCCGTCGATCACGGCGACGAGTTGAAGCGCCGGAGAGACGGAATCGTCGAGCGCCTTTACGTCGCGAGTTCAGCGCCGCCGCGGTGTCGAAATTGCGAGCCGGACGACGGTGAAATCAAGACGCGGAACAGTCCCTCCGCGGCGGAGGCAAAGGATCCTCACGGAGGCTTGGTCGACGACGAGCAGATGAAGATTCTAGAGATTAAAGAGCAACTCGAAGATCCTCACCAGGTCTAGGATACTGAGTTTCTGATTTGTTTTTTTAAATGTTGTTCTTAACTTGATTGAGTTTCTGATTTGTTTTTTTTTGTTCATTCATCAGTCTGAAGATTCATTGGTGGAGTTGTTACAGAATCTAGCAGATATGGATATTACATTCCAAGCGTTAGGAGTAATTAATTAATTAATTAATTTTATTTCATTCAGTTTGTTAATTATTATTATTATTATTATTTTTATTTATTGTTTTTAATTTCATGCTAATTTTATTTCTAGAAAACTGACATTGGTAGGCATGTGAATCGTTTGCGGAAGCATTCGTCCAATGATGTTAAGAGATTGGTGAAGTTACTCGTCAGGTTTAGAACTAGCTATCATTATTATTGTTTCTGCTATTATTTTTTAAATACGAATAATGAATGTTTATTGATATTTGTGTGCATTGCAACAGTGCAGTGAGTGAAATTTGCAGTTTCGTTGACTTTTGATTTTTTTGTTTGTTTGTTTGTGTGCAGGAAGTGGAAGGAAATTGTAGACGAATGGGTGAAGTCGAGGACAACGGGAGAAGCGGGTACTGCTGTCATGGGTAATAAACTTAAACTTAATCTTCACTTGGGAAAAGTTATTCGGCTTTAAAGTGAAAATTTGAATCAAGGATTATAGTTTTTGCTGAATTGAAAATGTTGATGATTCTTTTATATTGTTGAGCATGGCAGCTGATGGGGACTCACCTCAACAGAAAAGCCTACAAAATGGGCATCGTCAGGTTGAAGAAATCTTTTTGATCATTATTCAGAAAGCCAAGCTTTCAAGCTTTCTGATATTCTATTCCTTTTTGCAGATTCTTGATTTTGCATATTCGCCTAATCCACACAGTGAGTGTAATATCTGAATCAAAGCTTACTTTGTATCCAACTTTTATTTTGTTGATAGAATAACACGTTTCCTGTTTTCTCAGATGGGAGTTTTGGGTCAGAGATCAACAATATTGAACCACAACAACTAAAACCAAAAGCAATTCCTCGCAAAGAAGCTCCCCCAAAACCACCGCCATCAGTCACTAATCCTGCTCCTGCTCCTCAAAATGTATGGATATGATTTTATAACTTTCTGGTCTCTCTGATCTTCTAAATGTGGCTACTAATATTTGGAGGTTGTTGTTTCAAAATCACTTAACAAGTTTAAACCAATGTGCAATTGTGGAGCTTAGCTACATCATTTAGTGCCTACACAGGAGCATCAATGTAGTGGTCCTAACTCGTCGTTGAATGATTGCAGAGACAGAGCGTTATCAATATTGACTTGGATAGATTTGATTCAGCTAGAAAACGACTTCAAGAGAACTACAAAGAGGCTGCAAATGGTGAAGTTTTTAGTCCATTTGGTTTACATTTTTGTACTAAATATTGTTTCTTTGGTTAGTACAACTTGTTCCATGCATACTGTACTGACTATTGTTTTGTCTGTTTGTGGTGGGGGTGGCTAGCCAAAAAGCAAAGAACGATTCAGGTGATGGACCTCCATGATTTACCAAAACCCAAGAATGCCTTCTTTGGAAAAAACAAAGGCGGCAACGGTCAGGGAAGGCACTAGTTGACACCCATGTATGTGGCAAGTTACGTGTAGAAAGGCCTTTTTGTGGGTTACTGATGCCACATAGTCCTAAGAAGGTATCGCTACTTAATATATGAAGCCCCAACCAAATCCATGATAATTTTATTTGCCAAACTATCTGTTTTTGGAATGTGGGTTTGGTGAGGAGCCCATGATGATTTCAGCATCTGAATGAAGATGTTTGGGGGATGACTTTTTGATATTTAAAACATTATTTTTAGGGTTGGAGCCTGAAGGGTATTGTTAATGTTTTACTCTGATGCTCCAATAAAGTCTGTTTAGCTTGATTTTTGTTCTTGTTCTTATCTTAATGCCACATCCAACAATTTCAGCCAGCCAAATCAAGAGTTGACTACTTCTTACTACCACTTAATATGCCCAGGGGCACGGGTCCAATTCGTGGCCTTTATAGTTGGTGCTATAATCAATTATTGTCTTGCCTGGACCCAAGTACTGTAGAAAGTAAGCTGATATTTACGATATCAACAAATGAAGCAAAACGCATTTCAATACATAATGCATGTGCATGTAATGTTCCCTTGCGTCAAAGAGTAGGTCGAGATCCTCTTTTTTTTTTTTTAGTTAAAAATTTCATACTGTTTTTTATTATAAACAAAGAAAATAATTTTATATATATTAAAAAATTAATTATTTGTATTAAATTTTATTATTTTTATAAGATTCTTCTTAAATTATCCTTACTATAAATGTTAAAAGTAGTATATTTGAAAGATCATGTATTAAAGGATATTTTACATAAAAAATATAAATTAATGATGTAAAACTTATTAAGTTTGTTTATATTTAAAAATAATAACTGTTTTTTTTTTCTTATACAGAATAGAGTACTAAAGTAAAGATAGTCATACAATTTATAATTAATGGTTAAAAACTCTATTTTAGCATTTTAGGAGTTTTTCAACTGTAATTTATGTTATTAATGGTTATTGCTAAACTTTTAACGGGTATTTTTTTGTTAGCTAATTTTTTTTATTACATAGATTTAATAGTTGATTTTGCATTGCATGTAAAAAATAAATAAATTAAATTTTGAACAATTTTGGAAAAAACTTTTATTTATATAAAAGGTCTTAATATACTTTTTGTTCAAGACTTTAGACTTTTAATATTCTTATGGTGCGTTTCATTTACTAAAATTCACAGTACTGGAATTCTACTTTTTGTTCCATAAAAGCTATGGAATAATTTTTTATGTTAATAAATATTCATTATCATGCTATATTAATACTATTTCACCTTTTATTTATTATTATCTAACACTACCATTGGTTTGAGTTAGTTATTATATTATTCAATAAACTTTAATTAAATATAAATTTTTTAAAATTTATCGTAAAATTGAAAGTTTCTTATTTCTAGGTTTTATTTACAAAATTTTATATTAATCAAAGATGATGTAATATCTCATTATTATAGAACAAAATTGACATAATATATATTTTAAAATACACTAAAATATAATTTTTTTATTATTTTTAAATTGTTGTTCAATTTTAATAAAATTTGATATAAACATATTAAGTAATATAAAGTTATAATTCAATGATTGGATTGAAAAAATTCACATTTAATATAAAGTTATTCAATCTTCAATTTTAAAATTCACATTTAATTTTATTTTCTACTACCAATCTAAATATAACCTAAACGTTTGAAGGTTTTTTTTTTATATCTATTTTGCAAAATTGACAAATTTCAAATTACAAATTAAGGTAAATTATATTTTACTTTATTTTTTTTACTATAGTCTTATCCTTTTTAACTTATATTTTTTTGAGAAAAAATAGATGATGCATTGCATTGACATTAACAATGTAAATACCAATCACAAACTATTATTTATGATAAGTTGGTGATTTTTATAACAAAAAAAAAGCTACATCAATTGTAATACCTAATTGATTGATAATATAAAATACTTTATATTGTCAGTACATCATTATTAAATTTTATTTCTTATCATTAAATTTGGTTAATATAAAAATATTAAATTTATTATCTTTATTTAATTTAGCTTTAATTTTAGACTAATTGATTATATTTTTAATTTTTTTTTGTAATATTTTCATTTAATATAAATTTTAGAAAAGATTAACGATAAAAAAGTATAAAGAAAACAAGTGGGAAATTATGAGTTTATAAGGAAAAAAGGTATAGTTTATCATACCTACCAAAGAAAGTATAGTTTTAAATATTTTTGGATTCACCAAAAAGAAAGTATATGATCACGTGAATTAAGATACTAAGTTTTCGTGTTGGAAGTATTAGTATTAGTATATTCCGGTTGTTGGGCAAAGACAGTTTGGTCGGCAGAGATTATGTTTGTGGTCTTTTGGACCACAATGTGTGTCCATTACCATTAGTACCATCACAGGTCAAATTCGAAACACAAATCAAAAGAAAAAGATTACTGCGTTCAAAATGTTTCGACACAGGCCTAGAGACAACCACATATATATATGCATGCATGGTCATGGTGGTGTTGACAACTGAATCGTCCAATTCATAAATTATACACATATCCTACTTTCTATGTTACGGCTACAAATTCAATACACCCATGTGTTTTTTAAGTTCCCTCGACCCAGCTTTTCATGCCATTTTTCTGCATGAAAATTCAATATGATTCATTCATATTCATTTGTTTTTGAACCAGCAGATAAAATATATATACTTCAATATCCTACTTTTGACCACGGCCACCGAATCAATTAACATAGAGTAGTTGCAACTTAATCGGTTGTTAGTTTGAATTCTAAGTTACACTGATGAATGGTCATAAACAACATTGGAATAATTAAGTCAGTGTTACTGTAAATTTTTAAGTGTTTAGAATTGTGTTAAAAGGTCCTTTAAATACAAAAAATAAAAATAGGCGTTTTCGTTTAGAAGAGTTTTATTCCTTTAATGTTGGGTTTGAAAATTTTTAAACGATATATAATTTGAACAAAAAAAATGCTTCTACATACTACTGTGTTTCTATAAGATCCTTTTAACCACTTTAGAAGAATTAGGAAATTTAATTAATGATGATTAAATTGTTAATAACGTATATAATTTTATTATATTGTCCTTATATAATATTTTCTACTTAATTAATTAATAATTTCTATTTAAAGATATTTTGGTAGAAAAAATAATTAACGTGTGGTAAAATACTTTGTAAAGAATATTCTTATAGAAAAAGATTGAGACAAACTTCACAAGAGGTTGTTTAAGAAGGAAAAAAAGGTGTAAGTTTTTCCCAATTCAAGAATTGAGAACTTAAAAGTAAAACAACCAAACGCATCACATGAAATCTACTTTCCGAACTTTGAAAAAAATCTCAAGGTGACTAAAGTGGGATCATCACATATTCTTTATTTGGGGAAAATGTGTTAAGTGAGTGGAGTCAAATATTTCTAGTTGTTCAGGTTTAAATATTATTATTTTTGTTTATTTTAACCTTTGAAGAAAAATATTTTTATTTGTTATTTTAAAATATTAAGATGACATTAATTATAATTTTCTAAATTATATCATTGTAAAAAAGAACAAGAAACAAGAGTGTATTTGTCATTACTGAAAATAATTGCTTTTGTGAGTCATGAGATTTTGGTAGGTAGTAATAATTTAGCTAGTAATCACACGTATGGTCGCTATCTAGTTGGACACTAAACACGTTGTTAAATGACAAATTTTAAAGTCGATTTAATGGACAACATAAATTTTTTTTATATAACTAAATTTTATAATATATAGAAATTTTGATTATATATATATATATATATATATATATTGTATACTATAATTAAAATTTGTAATAAATATTTTTTTCTGGTAAATATATAAATATAATTTTAAACATATAAGTTGTATTTTAGAATTATGATAAATAATTTGTATTTTGAATAAAAATTATTTTTAAATATTGATTTTTTTATAAAAATATAAAAAATACAAAAAATAATATATTAAAAAGATAATAAGTTAAAAAATATGAAATAAACATAAAAATGATGTAGTAAAAGAGATAAAAAGCTAAAAAATATTCAAGTAAATATAAAAATGATGAACAAATATAATATTTGAATTTTGAAGATAAAATACATACTTTATTTTGATATTCATGAATAACTACTTATTAAATAATATATAGATCATTCATTTGATATGAACATATATAAGAGATACTTATATATTAAGAGTGATCAAAGTGCATGTATTCATGACAGTATTCAAATGATAATGATCAAGAGAATAGAAAAAGTGAAACGTTTATTAAATAGGGAATTGTTCTTTTATATATATATATATATGGAGAGAGAGATTATTGATCACATAACATGCTGATGTAGAGGCCAGCTAAATGTAGTTGCTAAGTTCTAATATTAGAAGTCCAAGTGCAACACTTGTTACCCATTTAAATTTTTCATCCTTCCCCTATGTGTCTTACATTAATTGTTATGCCTTTTTCTTGTTTTTCTCATATTACAACAAAAATAATTTTTAGTGACATTTAATATTGTTTTTAATAATAATAAAAATAGTTATAAAATATTTTATCAGCATTTTTACATTAGTCATTATATGTAGTGTCAGTAAAACATTTATCAACAATTATTCTACATATTGATAAAGACCCTTATAATGATTAAGAAAAATATATGAGTTTTTGTGATATTTTTTTATTGCCATCTATAATGGTTACTAATATTAGTTTTTAAATGTTTAACTTAATTATTTATTGATTTTTTTATTATTGCCACTAAAAATTTAAAAAATGATTCTTAACTTTTATGCCCTCCACTTATATTGTGGGACTTGAATTTTTTCAAATACACCTTCGTTAGTATTATTAGACTTAGTGCGTGATCAATAATGTACTCTTTTTATGATGGATCTAGAATAACTTTGATACTATTTTGGAATAGTGGGTATAAACCTAATTCAATCGTACACAACCAACTTGTAAAATGAGTGTTGGCCCCCACATATATATCCTTACTTAATTCTTTTATTAATAATCGATGCAAGACTTGAGTTTTTTTCTAATAAAATAAATTAAAAGTCACTCTTACTTTTTTATTGACTATTTTCAATAACTAATATTACAAATATATTTTTAGTGGATATTATTTATTATCCATTAATGTTTTATTAAATAATAAAACATAAATAATTAATTTATTTTCATTGAATAATTGTCATTAATACTAAATTTTGATGTTGTGTCGGTTTCTCTTTCACTCTCAATCCGTATATAAAAATAGAAAAAAAATACAAAATGTTTTGATAGCAAAAGCAAAAATTACAAATAATACATTGAATTATAAGACAGTAAAGGAGTTATTGCACATTTTGCTTT